ACCTGACTTTTTAAGAATACATGCTGTTGTAAAGGATGTCTCTGGATTATAGAATCAGCCCTGTTGGAAGAGTCTTGACTTAAAGGTTTCTTTTCCTTCAGACACTTCCTTTGCTTTTACCATAGAGAGGAGGGGGTAAGGGGTGGGGTGGCAGAACCTGGAGGACTCAAGCTGGGTTTCCTGTTGCTCCTAGCTAATGCTATAGGCCACACTTTTCTTTCACCCCAAATCCCCCCAGCAAGCGACCTTGTCGGCTCAGGACTGCAGAATAATGGCGTGCCAGGCAGAAATGCTTGCTCATTTACAAGCAGCTGTTTAGTTCTCATCAGCAAAGGAAAATGAAAGGGGCCGCGTTAACGTTAGGCGACAACCATCCGGAGCGTCCCCGTCACATTTCTCATTGGCTCTCCGACAGAAAAATTATCTGGTTTCACATCAAAAATAATCTGGAGACCTCTTTTGTGCACCAGCCACAATGATGGCAGCGTGAGTGGCTGAATGGGCCTTTTGATCAGCCTCTGCTATGCCCCTGGACTCACTCTTGAAGCATGTGTAATTCAAGTTTCAAAGGGTCATTTTGATTAAAAAAAAAAATGTACTGGAGGCAAGATAGTCCTGATGAAAAACTGAAAAGTTTATTTTTATTCATGCCGCATAAACAGCAATAGGAAAAAGTGGGATGCGTCTTGTTGAGAAAGATTCAAGTTTGTTGCCCTCATTAAACATATGGCTGCATTTTATCAGTGTGTACTCGACATGTTCTCCATGTCTGTTGTCCCTTTGGGTTTGATCATGGTAATGTCTAGTTTCAAGGGACTACATGGGAGAAGGTCTCTGCATGGCTGATGAAAATCCTAATGACACCTCGTTTGTGTGAAATAGGAAGACATTTTGTTCATTAACTCTGCTTCAGTGACACTCATATCCTACCAGATGGTCACTTTCCAATTGATTTGGCTCATCTGCGGAGAAAAAAATGAATTAAAACATTACAGCACCAAAGAGACGGAGTATAATGGATCCACTTTACATACTGGAGTTTCATGCGGTTCTTCAGCTGCAGATTCTGTACGGGTTTAATGTAATCGCAAAGGTTACACATGGTAGTAAATGCCATTCTGGGAAGCTTTAAATTGAGGATCCTCATTGGTGTAATAAAGTGCTATAACCCATGAAAATAGAGGTCCTGTGCACCAATCAATGTCAATTACTATCATGTACAATAAGCATGTGTCAAAAGGTTGAGTGATCATGTGCTTTCGAGACACTAAGCAGCTGCTTCCTAACGCAGAGAAAAGTGTCTCTAATTCTAATTTCAACGTGTTGTTAAAATATAATTTCTGTATGTGGGTGGAAAGAAAGAATAGTTAGGATTGTGCAATGGCACTGTCCATTGCTCCGCTAAATGCTCGCTACATAGAAGATGAAGAGGAATTTAAATGCTATTGTAGTGGTGGTGGGTGGGATGGGTGACCAGAATGCGTAATTAGTATTGGCTTGGCCATGATAAGGATCCGACCAGAAATGTCTCTGGTGCACGATGTTGCCATGGTCACACAATGAGCTTCCCACATAATATTGTATTGACGATGCCTTGATCCTTTTGCTCCCTGGCGTTTAATTAGTGTAGAGAATGTAAAACTCCTCCTTTTCAGGTGTTCGATTGATAAGCATCGCTCCTTTAAGCCCTTGTCATTGGTTCGGATGCACAATCAAAGAGTAGAGGTATATCAAAGCTAGCGAAATAACATCTCATATTTCAAGGAGGTCTGAAATGTGTGCTACCGAGGAGAGGAGGGTGCCGAGTTTCCCTTTGAGTCTGTGTGTGACAAACACAAGTAAAGATTCCTCTCAGTCATGCCGCTCTGTTTTTGCACCCATTCACCAGTGGTGCGCGCCATTTTGTTTGCTCAGAAGCCTCTTAAAACACGCTATAGCAACAAGTGATCATCAGAACGAAAGGAAAAGTGATGTTCCATATTTTAATATCCATCTCATATTGATACTCTTGGCATGGTTGACTTTTACCGTATTGAAAGTAAATAATTTTCATATCATGCATTCATTGATTAATTATGCTAATGACCCCATGAGCAAATAATGATTACTTTTCTGGCTCATTTGAATAATTAATTAATTGTGTTAAGTGAGACAGTAAGTATTGTATTTTGTTTGTGTGGGATTTACTGTGATCACATTATTCTCTTGTAATTGCAATGCCTTGTCGTGCCAAAAAATGATCAATGGTGTTTTTGTGTCTTCATAATGTCTGTATGAAAACTGAGGAAGAGGATTCATATGAAGTTGTCACATTAACCCTCCATTATATAACACAGAAAAACTTATACAATCATTATAGAAGGAGCTGATTTAGATTTGTCAGTGTAGCAGTATCAACTATGTTTGCCTTTTTCTGAGGAATCTCCAAAATTAAATAAATAATTGTACAAAACATGTTGAAAACACCAAAACATTGCTGACTTAATTGTAAACATTAACTGAAATATTGGGTGTCCTGTATAGATTTGTCCTTGTCACTCATTTACCATGGACCAAAAATACCATCCGACACCAGAGTGAAAAGTAGTCCAGCCTCGGGTCTAATCAACGGGGAGAGGCTTTTTGAGGTTGTTTACGAGTGTGCTTTGGTCCATGATGCCCCCACCCAGCTGGCTAATAAAGTGTGCTTAGATGACAGCAATTTAGTTTGATTTCCAGAGATTTGAACACAGAAATGCACCGTTATTACAGGGCCTGTCACGGGCATGGTTGAAAAGTTGCTTAGTGCATTTCAGTATCCTTCAGTACACATTTATCTCCTCATTGCACCAGGCTGTTTTCCTACTCAAGCAGAGAGACCGCATTCATTCTAAATCTTTAAACCAGAAGCTGAGATTGTGAAGGCTCTGCCGAGGAATTTAAGTGTTATAACAGTGTTCCTGGGACGCAGAGCATCAGTGGGGTTCGGCTGCGGATTTGGAGATCAAACTCGGAGGTCTTGCATATGGGCAAAGAACCAGTTGACTTCCAGCCTCAAAATAGGCCAGTGCAGGGTAATGTATCCCACCCAGTCATACGTAACTGCTGCACAATTGATCCATGTAGTGTATTTGACCTCTATAGCAGTACAACAAAGGAGTCAGTCAATTTAATAGAAATAAATGCACGGTTTGTTTAAGAAAATAGATATATTTAAATGTACATTCATTGGTGGGATGTATTATGTGTATGTATTTCACTTGTGCATTTGATAGCTATTTCAATTATTAAAATTGTATTTTTTCACTATACAATGATATGAGTATTACAAATGTTGCTGTGCCATGGGTTAATGTTTTACATAGGTTGCTATAGTTACTTCCTAAACAACATATTGCTCGCTTTTGATGTGCATTGACATCAACTCAAGGTTGGCTGTCAAGTCTTGTTCCAAACATGTGGTGTTTTTATATTTCTCCTCCTGGGTTTTGTTCTCTCGAGACAACATCTTTGATACATTGTGTATCACCTTAAGCGTTTCTTTTTGACTCTAAAGGGAAAAGTTGCTGAAAAAATGAAACCTATCATATGTGAAAGCCTTTATCTTTTCATGCCTATTGGTCACAAGTTTCCTGTCAACATGAACAAATAGAGAAAAAATAAAAACGTTTTAGAGTGTTGTAAGCTCTCAGACAAATGAAGTCTTATGGAGGTTAAATAGGCAAGCTGCCCTCCTCTATGCAGATATATCCTTTGTTCACCCTGAGAGTAAAATGTTTGCCTAGTTGGTGCACAAACGGAGGCTCATGCAATACAAACTGACATTTATCTTCCTTTATAAAATGCCACAGTAGTATTTCCTGACGAGGGATACAATACAGAATGCTAATCTAGTGCCATTATAGCATAACATTTAATCAGACTAAGATAATTATATTGGTAGTTAATTGATGAAGCGTCCAACAGGGGAAAATAAACCTGGCCTTGTTAGGTCGATTTATCAGAGCTGGAGTCAAAAGCTTTAAGTAAACTGTTGTCACACTGAGAGTGTCTCACAACATGGCAAATATAAAAAAAAAAAAAGCTTTGTAATTGGAAAAACTGCATAAATTGATCAGTTTGACTTGTCCAGGTGCCAAACAAATTAGTGCACAAGAAGTAGGTTAAATCTTTTATGTTCTTTGTTGTCCTAACTAGAACCTAAAACTAAACCTCATTCTGGACATAGGCTTTTGAGCATGTTTATAAAGCTGTATTTCATGTATGTAGTTGACACACTCCGAACTCTCAATATCCCGCCCTTCGATTGTCAGAACTGCAAGCTAAGTGGATTGAATTGTAGTCATGTTGAACAGATGCTTGCTGTACTTTTTCATTTATGGTGGAAAAAGGAGCTTTTCAAGATAACCACAAGTCTCTAGTGATGTGCTGTGTGGTCCCTTACTGATATGAAACACAGGACAAATTACACAACTGAGGTGGCAGATTGTTTAAAAAAAAAAAAAAATAAGCACAAAAATAATTATATAGTTATATATTTTTCTCCCCATCACAGAAGCTGTTGGGTTTTCTTATTAGTGTTGTGTCAGTGTGCTTACTGTACATAAACGGTCGTAAGGGGTTACAATGCTCCAGACATTTTAGCCGACAAACTAGACTTTAATGACAATTATCGATTTTTTCCCGGACCAGTTGGGCGCAGGGATGACATACTAACACCATTAGCTCACTGGTGCGGTTGAGATCTGAAATGTTCACTCAATATACTGATGTATGTCAAGCTGGTGGTCCAATCCAAGTTTCACTATCCTCATATCAGCGTTAGTCATCTTGCAAGTAACAGCGTTTTAAATAAAAAGGGTGGCACATACACAAAATGCTGCTTTTTAGATATATCTGGCAAATCCAGCTCTGATATCCTGTGTCTTCTCTCTTTCATGCCGTCTTTCTCTGTGTCAGCTCAACCACACAGCTCCCTTTGATTTGCCCTGATAGAGCTCTTTCTCTCTCTTCTCCCTCAGGGTTTAGCCGAGCCGCCCTGCCATTTGGCTTAGTACGGAGAGAGCTGTCTTGTGAGGGTTACCCCATCGATCTGCGGTGTCCAGGAAGTGATGTCATAATGATTGAAAGTGCCAACTATGGCCGAACGGACGACAAGATCTGCGACGCTGACCCTTTCCAGATGGAGAACATCAACTGCTATCTTCCAGATGCCTTCAAGATCATGTCACAAAGGTAAAACTGCTGACATCTCAGTGCTGTACCAAAACAAATTATCACAAAATGAGGCATCTGCCAAACTTACAGGAATCTGAGAAAATAATTGACGGGGCTAAACACTTACAGTTTCCTAGTTGCCCTGAGCAACCGTATACGGACTGCTGTCAACCATTTCATTTTGTCTGGTTGCCCCTGTTGCCCATCTATCTTTCATTCTCTTAAAAAAATCCTCCACATTTCTTGCCTTTGGAGTCAAATCTTCCTGCCAAGGAGAGTAACACGGCTGCAGCTGGATTGATTTACTCCACCGAATATAGCAAAAGGGAATGTTAGTGTGAAGGGAAAAAAAAGGAAATAGCAACAGTAGACTGTCAGCATCCATAACCTAGAAGACATTAATGTTAGTACGCACTGAGATAGCTCAACATGAGAGAATTAGCTACTGTTTTTGAGTAGAGCATTTTATTTTATTTTTTAAAGAAATCAGAGACCAAAGCACTAAACTGACAATGGACATTAAATTCACATTTCAAAATATGAACATAACAAATTAACCTTTCAACAACATTCACTACAACTAAAAGCTATTTTCAATATTTCACAATTTGACATGACTGCAGATCGGATCCAACTTGCTGGAGGTAATTATTCTGCCCACTGTAATTTACTCTGTTGAATACATTACCTGACAAAAGTCCAATCTAGATGGAGTATGCTAACATTAGTCTATCACTGTTTGACTTACTACTGAAGCTGGGCCACTTGCTCTTAGCAGAATCCATTTACGTGCGTGTGGTGTGTTAGAGTTACAGTGTGTGTGCTTTGTGTATCTGTAACACAAAAGAGATAGAAACCGAAAAAATAGTTTATGTTACGTGAAATATGTTAACAATTGTTTTAGTTATGAATTCAATCATAAATGATTATAACACAGCAGGCATCCTCTCAACTCTGGCCACCAAAAAAACGGATGGCTGTTGTCCAGCTGCACAAACAAACCCTCTGGCACCATGTATAGAAAGTTGACCTATCGTGGTGATGTTGAAAGGATAGTTGGCAACTGCTATAGCTTTTATAGATTAGATGATCAAATGCTCAGGAATACATTGTAGGCATTGTCTTGTTTAATTCATCACATCAAAAATGTAAAACAATTTATCGAACATCAAATGCAATGACAGTATTTACCTAAATCTGCCTTTTTTAGAGCCGAATGTGATTTATTATTATTCGGGGAATGTGTGGTAAAAATAACAAAGCAATTTAAATGAAATGCTTAGGTACCATCTTAAGTAGTTATACTTTTACTCCACTAAATAGATACTAGATCTTACTTTTTAAAGCATGACAAAAACACTTTTAACTGTTACAAATGTAAAATATTCAAAACTTGCTCCAGCTCAACCAACTACAACATTAAAGGACTTCTTAGATGCATATACAAAAATCATAATTTAATTAAATAACTATGAATATAAATTGGCAGACTGATTTCTAGAGTTTTGCAAGCGATAACAAACTTTAATAAGTGTTTATTGCTCCTTCATTTAAGTAAATTATTTGAATACTGTTTTCACTACTGGCTTTCCTTGACTTTAAGGATACTTGTTTTCTACTTTGGTAAATCCTGTTGGTCAGATTAAGGGCAGGCTCTTGGCAGCCCAGATTTAAGGATTGATCACTGACCACAGAAATGGCCCATATTTTAAAGCTGCTGTCTCTGTAGCTAGCACTCGTGTGCAAAGACGGATGATTGATGGTGGAATTGGAAAACAAACCCACGGTGGTGCGTGGATTTGCGCGCATGCCTGCAACTCAGTAGGGTTCCACTGGTCACACCGTATACATGAGACCTTAAACACGAGAACAGTTGTCACATAGGGATGCCATCTGAGCCAAAGTGCACGGGATGGAATGACATACGAGTTCCACAGAGAGAGAAATTGGTCGGTATGAGACCGTCAGCAACTCTGGCAAGCCGCCTTGGGAAATAAAAAGAAATAATGAAATAAAACAGTAAAGCCCCTTGTATTCAGGGGGTTTGTTGTCAAGCCCTATTTGATAAAGTCAGATAGCTGACTCACATTGTCTGTCTTGAAAGGCTGCAGCCCTCCTGCTCTCCGCTTGTGGCCCTGTGTGTTAAGCTGCCCTCGGCCTCGCTCGTACAGAAACAGCCCACTGAAGCACAAATAGTGATCCAGCAGGAGCCACCTGACAACAGGCTCGTAGAAACGCTCTCCACCAGCGCCCGCAGAGGACGGCTGTTCATACTCCGGCTCATTCCTCATATGCATATCCTGAGTGTGCCAGAGGCCGTACATCAGATGTTTTTCTAAATGTGATTTTAGCATTTCAATGCCACTGCTGAGCTATTGTACTTGGTGAAAAAATAGAAATATGTGTTTGAAGAAAAAGTCCTGTGATACAAAGGGTCCCTGTCAGGTGTGTGGGTTCAAAAATCACGCAAAAGAAACCTCATGAGTTCTCGTGTGACACAAAAAAGGCCATCAAATGTTAAAAAGTGGCAGGTTTATATTTACATAGAGTGGTATACATAGATAACTTCTTTGTCAGTGTGAAAGTTATTCTGAGGGATGTCAACATGGACCGTGTATGTTTTTATTTAGCTGAAATCAAGCCATACATTTTCAAATTAAAGTGCAATTAAAAATGCTTTTCTTACCCCTTTAGCTCACACACCCGGTGTTATTGTCCACCATATTAAAAAAATATCATAATCATTTATCAAAATTCTTCAATTAAATGTTCTAAAATAATACTTTTGTAAAACAAAATATAACACGTTTTCATCTAAGATAGTTCCCCACAATTTTAACCAATCATATCTTGACACCCATCGATTGACCCTTCTTGAAACTGTACACTGCTAAGATAGACCGTATAACTGGGGAAACACAGTAGAAGACCTACATTCATATGTAGGTGTTTAAAAAACAGTGTTTGGGTAATCAGAAACAGTTTATTGTCATGGAAATAGATTCAAGGACAGCTTGACAAACGCCCAAGATTGCATGTGGGACTAATTACTGATTTGATTTTCCATCTCTTAATTTATTTACAGGAATAAACTAAAAAAGGAAGGAAATGTAATACCTTTGCTGTCAAAAAGAATTATCCTCAAATGAGAAAGTGGTGATTTATTTCCCTATTTGGATCGTAATGTTTGTTTCAAGGCCCTTTCCTTCTCCACAAGTCAGAACTCCGCTGTGCGCCCTTGATTCTGCTGAGGTAATCCTGCTGAAATATTCCATATATGGAGCAACATACCACACACTACAGAGTGGAGAAAACATTTTGTACTGTACATTCTCTATAAAGAAAGGAAAGAAGAGATACAATTATTTGTTGCCGTAATCACCCTGGCCTACTAGTTTAAGTGTGTGGGAAAAATCGCATTAGCACTTAAACTGTGTTCACTTTTAAACATCCAAAATGTATGTGGTCCTGAAGTGTGGAGAATTGGATGGAGGCTTCACTGAGTTTGATAGATCCCGTTGGCACTCCAAGTTGTTTTTATATCTTGCTGGCATATTATATTCATGAGCACAATGATTTTATGAAAATAGCCGTAGGACAGTTGTGGCTCAATTAGAACGTTCAGCTGCAAGCAATTAGTCGACTCAAGTGGGTGATAATCTGTACAGGAATTTTTCACGTGGACACCTCCCCGGCAGATGTGAAACTGCATGGCAGTACAGTTTGAAATAATTAATTCATTGATAATAATAATCAGCGTGGTGATTTCTTAATGTTTTTTTCAAGATTTCAGTTTTTTAATTATTACATTTAATCATCTGCGCTGAAGATAATGATAATGATAGCCATCACAACACATTCTTGCCACACAAACAACATCTTTAAATTGGAATTTAAATGTATCTGAACATTATTTAGTGACACATTATGTTTTACTTGCAGTGAGCATCTGGTGCTTACTTGTTATTAAAATCCGGCCAGTCCTTATCAGGGAAACTTGATGTAGAAAAGATGACAATGACACATCTTGGCAAATCAGTGTCATAAAAAGAACATATGATGAAATGGAGTATGAATAAGTGGCTTTCATCTATGGATTTCTCCTTGAGTAATGAGCTTACTTGTCAGTATTCGATAACAAGGACATTGATTGCTGTAACATAACATGGCTGGGTCCTGCCGTGCCTGTGGATCATGGGTTTCAGAGGAGCGTATCATTGACAAGAATGATCAAAGCAGAAAGCTCTCAAACACACGATGTGAAATTCATTAGTGGTATTAGAGGAGAGCTGGTTGGTTAATAATTATCATTAAAACGATCATTATCATTCAACATTGGCTATTTGGAAGTGTGTATTTTTTAATGATGTCATCAGCTTCAATGTGACAGATCTTTACAAACATTGTTAAGTTAATAGGGTTGTTAACAACTGACTTGTAATTTTGAAATTATCCAGTAATATTAACATGTAATTGTCAATAGATGTGCGGCGGTTCTGGAGACTAAGTGATGCTACTCACACTATTTATATCAGTGACTGGACTGCTGGCGAGGCTCTCCGAGGAGCTCCATCGCTGCCGCCTGACAGCACGTCGCCTTGTTCTTCCCCTCCTTACACACTGTGTGAGTGTGTATTTAAAGCGCAGTAGATTAAGATTTCATAAAGATCCAGATTAAGTTAGGGGTGTACACAAATTCATGAGCCATGAAACGGCTCTCTGGTCTAGATTAAATTGGTGATGATGTGCGTAATTTAAAAAGTGTATACACCCTCATCACTGATCCTCATTAGCCAAACTACTGCTTACACCAAAATAACACTTGGAATTAATTAATGAAATGTAAAAAAATAAATTAAATAAAGAGACATTTATTAAGGTAGGCTTACCTACAAACATGTTATATCATATTTACATGCCAATATTGTTAATAAATATTCCCGTTTATAAATGTAACAATCATACCTGGCCCATATTTCCCCCAATAAAACATACATGCCTGGGTATTTTATCAATAA